TCCTCCCACACACACTCCCCACTCGCTCCTATCCTCCCACACACACTCCCCACTCGCTCCTATCCTCCCACACACACTCCCCACTCGCTCCTATCCTCCCACACACACTCCCCACTCGCTCCTATCCTCCCACACACACTCCCCACTCGCTCCTATCCTCCCACACACACTCCCCACTCGCTCCTATCCTCCCACACACACTCCCCACTCGCTCCTATCCTCCCACACACACTCCCCACTCGCTCCTATCCTCCCACACACACTCCCCACTCGCTCCTATCCTCCCACACACACTCCCCACTCGCTCCTATCCTCCCACACACACTCCCCACTCGCTCCTATCCTCCCACACACACTCCCCACTCGCTCCTATCCTCCCACACACACTCCCCACTCGCTCCTATCCTCCCACACACACTCCCCACTCGCTCCTATCCTCCCACACACACTCCCCACTCGCTCCTATCCTCCCACACACACTCCCCACTCGCTCCTATCCTCCCACACACACTCCCCACTCGCTCCTATCCTCCCACACACACTCCCCACTCGCTCCTATCCTCCCACACACACTCCCCACTCGCTCCTATCCTCCCACACACACTCCCCACTCGCTCCTATCCTCCCACACACACTCCCCACTCGCTCCTATCCTCCCACACACACTCCCCACTCGCTCCTATCCTCCCACACACACTCCCCACTCGCTCCTATCCTCCCACACACACTCCCCACTCGCTCCTATCCTCCCACACACACTCCCCACTCGCTCCTATCCTCCCACACACACTCCCCACTCGCTCCTATCCTCCCACACACACTCCCCACTCGCTCCTATCCTCCCACACACACTCCCCACTCGCTCCTATCCTCCCACACACACTCCCCACTCGCTCCTATCCTCCCACACACACTCCCCACTCGCTCCTATCCTCCCACACACACTCCCCACTCGCTCCTATCCTCCCACACACACTCCCCACTCGCTCCTATCCTCCCACACACACTCCCCACTCGCTCCTATCCTCCCACACACACTCCCCACTCGCTCCTATCCTCCCACACACACTCCCCACTCGCTCCTATCCTCCCACACACACTCCCCACTCGCTCCTATCCTCCCACACACACTCCCCACTCGCTCCTATCCTCCCACACACACTCCCCACTCGCTCCTATCCTCCCACACACACTCCCCACTCGCTCCTATCCTCCCACACACACTCCCCACTCGCTCCTATCCTCCCACACACACTCCCCACTCGCTCCTATCCTCCCACACACACTCCCCACTCGCTCCTATCCTCCCACACACACTCCCCACTCGCTCCTATCCTCCCACACACACTCCCCACTCGCTCCTATCCTCCCACACACACTCCCCACTCGCTCCTATCCTCCCACACACACTCCCCACTCGCTCCTATCCTCCCACACACACTCCCCACTCGCTCCTATCCTCCCACACACACTCCCCACTCGCTCCTATCCTCCCACACACACTCCCCACTCGCTCCTATCCTCCCACACACACTCCCCACTCGCTCCTATCCTCCCACACACTCCCCACTCGCTCCTATCCTCCCACACACACTCCCCACTCGCTCCTATCCTCCCACACACACTCCCCACTCGCTCCTATCCTCCCACACACACTCCCCACTCGCTCCTATCCTCCCACACATACTCCCCACTCGCTCCTATCCTCCCACACACACTCCCCACTTACTTGCCACTCCCCAGCTCCAGCTGGTACTCATAGCCCGAGAAGGTTGACGCGGGGCACAGCACGCCCTTGGTGGGGGGAGTGGTGGACGAGGGGGGAGGCGGGGGAGAGGGCGTGACGGAGGGGGGAGGGGGCGGAGAGGGCGATTCGGTAGGGGAAGGCGCGGGTGCGAAGCCAATGGGGGTGCCCGCCATTTGGCCGTTGCAGGAGAAATCGACCTGGGCAGAGGCGCTGGGGTGAGGGGAGGATGGGGAAGAGAGAGGGGGAGAGGGGGGAAGAGGAGGGGGGGAACGTGGGCGGTGAGAGGAGAGGAGAGGTGAGACGAGAGCCAAGGTGATTCTTCCCTTCCATGCATTTTCTTCCCTCTCCCTTCCCCTTCTCCCCGTTCCCTCTCAATCCCTCTTCCCCTCCCTTCCACCTCCCCACCTTCCCCCTTCCCCCTTTCCCCCCTCCCCGCGTTTCCCTCTCCCCCCTCCTCCTCCCCCCCTTCCCTATTCCTTACACGGGCTTGGGGTTGCTTCCAAGCGGCTGGCCTTCCCAGGACGGGTAGTACCAAACCACGTTCATAGGTCCGGACGACTGGAACGTCACCGAGCCTGTCCCCTCGGTTCGGCTAAACCTGAGACAGAGGAAACGAGTGTAGAGAAGCAACGCAGGGGCGCAACGTTCGGCAATCAGATGTTCGGACGCCGTTCAGACGTTCGGACGCCGTTCAGACGTTCGGACGCCGTTCAGACGTTCGGACGCCGTTCAGACGTTCGGACGCCGTTCAGACGTTCGGACGCCGTCCAGACGTTCGGACGCCGTTCAGACGTTCGGACGCCGTTCAGACGTTCGGACGCCGTTCAGACGTTCGGACGCCGTTCAGACGTTCGGACGCCGTTCAGACGTTCGGACGCCGTTCAGACGTTCGGACGCCGTTCAGACGTTCGGACGCCGTTCAGACGTTCGGACGCCGCTCAGACGTTCGGACGCCGTTCAGGCGTTCGGACGCCGTTCAGGCGTTGGGCCACTAGTCGGAATGACCAGCGAATGCCACGGGAGGTACCGTAGACAGTTAGCGAAAACCGCGAGCGACGTCCGCCTGCGTTACAAAAGTCGCAACGTACTTACAACAACATACGCTGCCAAATATTTATAAGTTTAACATATATATAAAATCTGGGCGCATCAAATAATCGATTTTTGAGCCGCTTCAAAAGCCATTGCAGCACTCACAATGCGATCGTGCTGTCGCCGAACCCGACGGAGCCGGCGCTGCCGATGTTGAGCGTGTTCGTTTCCGACATGATAGTGACCGGCGCGGGGTCGCCATGCTTTTGCGGCGTGATGACGGTCGACGTCGTGAAGGACTTCACGCCGCCGTTCGCGACGTTCGCGAAAACCGCGTCGGTTTTGCCGCCGTTTCCGCCGTCGGTCCACCCGACGCCGAACCAGCTCTTGGCTCGGGCCGAGTCGGCTTCGAGAGCCATCTGAACCACCGAGCCTGACGAGGCGCGCCAATGGTACGTGAACCTGCGTAGGTAGGGAGCGGGGAGGAGAGCGGAGGAAAGGGAGGCGCGGGTGGGGAGAGGCAGAAGGGAGAGGGGAGGGGGGAGGAGGGGGGGCGGGGAAGAGGAGAAGGGGATGGGGAGAGAGGAGGGGGATGGGAACAGGGCGGGGAGAGTGAACCGAAGGTTTACGAGGGACGCACGGAGGCTCAAAGAACGGGCACGGCAACAAGAGAGGCTGAACGGAACATTGGCCAGTCGTAGCCCGACGCGCTCGCCGATAATGTTGAGGATGGAGATCCGTGGCGCGAATAAAGACCTCTCGTAACATACCCCGGCGCGAGGACCTTCGAAGAGGTGAACCCACTGGCAGCGAGCGACGATGGGTTGCACTTGGCGGGGTTCTGCTGTGGAGACGGGGGAGGCGGAGAGGGCGGGGGCGTGGAAGGCGGCGGGGGAGAGGGCGGCGGCGGAGAGGGGGGTGGCGGAGGGCTGCGGGAACGCGGAGGTGGCGGGCTGGCGAAATGGAGGCTTCCGCCGGTGATGGACCCGAAGCTGAAGAACGGGAAGAGCGACGAGAGCGAAGGCGGAGGCGGAGGCGGAGTGCCCTTCGCGCAAGCGGAGCGGGGGGAGTGGAGGAGCAGCAGAGAGAGCACCAGCGGGAGGGCGGCGCTGACTGCGCGGAGGTTTGCGCGGCGCGCGCGCGCGGCGGTGGCCGAGGTTGCGGCCATGAGGAGAGGATGTCGGCTGGCGGAGGCGACGAATGAGGGAAGAGATGGACCTCCGGCGGAGGCGGAGTTGGCGGTGGCTGTCGGTTGGCGGAGTTCACACCTCCGTACGCTGCTTGGGGTGCTGGAGGAGAACGCTGAGTGCGTTCAGTAAAGAAGCCCAGCAGGAATGGATTTCCCGCGAACTCCAAATGCCACAATCGCCAAATGATGAATCTCAGGATTCTTGAACTCCTGGATTTCTTTTCCTTGCCCAGCCCTCAAGGTGCAACGTACTTGCGCGGGCAACGGGGTAGCACGGGCACATTACAAACTGCAGGCGGGGGGGAATGGGGGAAGAAGAGGAGGAGGGAGCGGGGGGAATCGGGGGAAATGGAGGAAAAACACCGCTACAAAATGGAGAGGGAACAGGTGGCGGCGAGGCGCGGGATTGGAGGGGGGAAGTGGGGGTTTGAGGGGGATGCGAAGCGAAGAGGGGGAGGAGATTCCGCCGCCCCGCACTTGTGAGCACACAAGGTTGTTGGCAACAGAGAAAAAAGGGCACCGCGCGGAGCCGCGTAAAGTGCTGATTGGTGGGAAGGGGCGCATGGGGGCGGAGGGCGGAGCGTGGGACCCAGACATATGCCGTGACGTGAGGGCTGGTCTGGTTGTCGATGTCGCAAGGTGGAATCTGATGCGGAGGCCATACCTGGCGAATGTCGCAATACAAGAATTGTTTCTGCGAGAACTCAACAGCCAACCAAAATGGGGCGTACAAGGGCTCGCGAAATCCCACATCAGCCAGGCCCCTTTCGCGTGGTGCAAGCAAGCCCCCGCAGCCACCCTACTTGGGCCGCGCGTGTATTCGCGGCGCCGTCCTTAAGGATTCGCCTGGTTCGGAAAACCATAGCCACATTTCTGGTTGGGCAAAGCTGGTTCGGCATCTGACACGTGGCTTGACCGAACTCAGGAGGATCTTTTTTCCGATTGGACACAGCTAAATTGCGCTTGAAAAGTCTCCACTTCTGCGTAAGGGGAATGGAACTGGGGCTAGTTATGGATTGTGGAAATTGCACAAAGTATGAGTGAAACACACACAACTCACCAAAAGGGAATGTTACATTCTTCTCTCCAAACGAATCCATGTGGAGGATGGTTTCGACTATCAGGCCAACCCTTCTCAACAATAAATCCCCTGCTAGCCTCAACCCAAGCTCCCTTCCTATCACAATGCTCAAGCCCCTCACTTCCATCGCTATCACGCATTTCACCATTCGTCTCCTCCTGAAACTGATACCGTGAGTCCCACTCCAGCTCAGCAACCAAGAAACGGAGCTTCCTGGGAAGATTCCTCAACCGAGCCTCTTCGGAGCACTTGTAAATAACTTGAAGCAAAAGGTTTCCTGTCAATGGCGTTGCAATTCCATCCGGGCAAGACTGGAAGCAGGCACCTAGGTCATCAGCACCAGAGCAGGTTGCTTCTTGGTGGGCTTCGGGGAAGGTAGCGTCCAGGTCAGCACTTGCACAGGCAGCATCTAGGTGGGTTCCAGGGGAGGTGGTATCTGGAGGCAATAGACAGGGGGGTGTCTCATCTGGGACCAGCACAGGCGAGAGCCATTCGTCTTTGGGCATGATGTACCAGCGGGAGTGGGCATGCTTGGGCAGCTGCACCATGGCTGCAGCATCATGCGTCCACCACCCGTACCAGTGCCAGGGGAACACGGCACATTCTCCATAAAATGCTGCTCCTGATGCTGGTGCTCCTGTGCCTGCTGCTGCTGCTGCTGTGTCTCCTGCTGCTGCTGCTGTTCTTCCTGCTGCTGCTGATGCTGCTACTGCTCTACCCCCTATCTCAGAATCGCCCCTGGTAGCAACGGTCCCAAATTTGGCGCCTCTCTCTCTCCAGCCCTCCTCCATCTCTCTCAGTTTCAGCCACAGGGGGTACTCATAGAACAAGTACCCTTGTAACAGCGCTGCTGCTTGTAACGAGGATAATATCTCTTTCCCTCCACAGCTCTCTGTAATCCCATCCACCCCACAACTCTCCCTACTCCCTTCATTTTCCATTGCCGCCCCCCCAGTACCCTCAACTCCATACATCCTCGTTATAAGCTGAGCCCCATAACCGTGTTTGCCCAGCAGCAGTTGTCGGCTAAGCCGCTCCTTCCGGTCGCGGAGGGACTCCCCCACGTGGGGGCCCAGGTACTGCCCCAGCAGCCAGTCAGGTGCTGCTTCACTGCCGCTGCTGCTGCTGCTGCTGCTGCTGCTGCTACCACTGATAGTGGTGCTGCTGCTACTGGTGGTGGTGGTGGTGATGGTGGTGGTGATGGTGGTGGTGGTGGTGGTGGTGCTGCTGCTGCTGCTGCTGCTGCTGCTCTGAGTGGGATGGAACCGGCGGGAGAAGATGGCAAGTGCATCGTCCCACGAGCCCACGAAGAGGAGAAACTTCACGGAAAGCTCCCAGTGGTGGAGCACAGCTGAGGCTGCTGCGGCTGCATCCTCAAGTCCAATGGCGGGATTAGCAGCGGCAGCAGCAGCAGCAGCAGGAGGAGCAGAATCAACAGCTGCAACAGCAGCTGTATCTCCACCACAATCATCAGCAGCAGCAGTTGCACCACCCTCTAAAACTCTCTTGCAACATAAACCAGGCGACTTGGAATCAGGAGGAGAAAGGGGAGGAGGAGAGAGCAAGTGAGGAAGAGAGGGAGGAGGAGGAGAGGGTGAGTGAGGAGGGAGGGAGGGAGGCGGCAGGGTGAAGAGCACATCAAACTCCCCCATGGTCTGAATCCGCCCCTTCCTCTCCCTCGACTCGCGCAGGAATCGCTTCCGAGCCCGTCTGCCCATCTGCCTCAGCTCCGGAAAGTCTAGCTCTGGCCGAGCCGGAGCCAGCTCCAGGCTCGGCACGCTGAAGCCCTCTAGGCTCGGTAAGTTCGGCTGGTCTGGACTCTGCTTCAACAAGGTGGAGGAGTCTGGCATGTTGGGTTCGGGGGGGTCAGGTTCGGATAGGCCGCCGTCAGCTGATGTGTCTGCTTCGGGGAGGGTTTGATCTGGTTCGGGGAAGATAAGCCGGGTGGGCTTCCCCCGAACCTCTGAAACGTGAACTTGGACAGAGGTTCGGAGGCCCCGAGGCTTGAGGCTCGGGCCGAACGTGAGGGCGAAGAGAATGCAAAGAGCATAGTGGTCGCCCAATCGGGCGCTCTGTTTCTTCTGCCTGAACCATGCTGCCACGTGTCCTCCATCCAGGGACTCCAGCCAGGCCAAGAGCGCCTGTTGGCCCTCCCTCTCGCTATTGTCACATGCCTCATGGTGCGGATAATTGCTTGGACTGGAGTGATCCGGGCTGTTAGGCATCAGGAGGGAAGAGGTCTGGGCGAATGCGTGTGGGTCCACTGTTGGTAGCTGCGGAGAGCAAGGGAGAAAGAGAAGGGGAGAGAGAAAAGGGAGGAAGATGAATCGAGGGGGGGGTGAGGTGTGTGAGAGAGAGGGGGGGTGGGCAGAAGGGGAATCGGGTAGAGAGGCCTTAGTCCACAGCAGGTGAGTTTTTGTTTCAAGGCGTACCTGGTTGGACGAGAGCAGCAGCGGCGGGCAGAAGGCAACAAAAGCGATGTCTCTGATGAGCCTGAGGGGGGAGAGGGGGGGGGGGCAGGGGGGCGGAGGGGGGCTGAAGGGGGCTGTGGGGGGTTGATGGGGAAGGGGACAGGGGAGGGCAGAAGATTACCAAAGCGATGTCTCTGATGAGCCTGAGGTGGGGGGGGGGGGGGGAAGGGGGGGGGGGGGGGAGGGGGAAGAGAGGGGGAGGGGAGGAGGGAGGAGGGGGGAGGGCAGGGGCGAGGCGGTGCGTCAATGAGTCTGGGGGGGAATGGGGAAAGGGGGGGAAGGGGGTGGAAGAGAGTGGCGGGTGCAGGGGGGAGGGAGGGGATAAGCTCCTCTGAGGGCGGCGGAGTCAGCATTGCAGGCCGAGGAGGGGAGTATTCTAGCACCTGAATTTTCGTATGACCAATGTAAACCTTCCGAATTTGATGCACGTTCAATTGTATCGAATTTACATGACTCACTTATCTGGGAAGCGAAGAAGCTCTTGTTGAGTCGGAAACCGTCCAGGCTGAAGCACACTTCTGCCATGCGACCGCCCTGCGACACTAGCCGTCGCGTTAATCGTCGCCATTCCCGCTACCGAAGCCGAATTGCGCTGACTACCGCCGGCTGCGGAAGGCAACTGAGGAGAGCGCATGGTGCTTGCGCGGAAGGTGCTCGCGCGAAAAGCGACTCCTAAATTGCGCATTGCCGAGAGGACGAGACGACAGACAGGCTATCCGCATTTCAGACGTGCCTTGGTCGCCAGAATCAGGATTTGTGCGTCACCTGAGAGCATGGCTAAAGACATAGACATATTATAGTGAGCGGCAGCGAATGAAATTGCGAGGGACAAAAATGGAATCCCCGTTGTAAGCTGCTCTGGCAGCGACTGAAATTGTCAAGGCAGTTTCGTTATAATTTGGCTCTCTATGTTGCTGAACGAGTGGGATCATTTGGAATTCACGCTTTAACTGTACCGATAATTTCGATGTTACACCTAGCGGTTTCGTTGCTCCGTTCGCGAAGCCTCTCGCAGCACGTTGACTTTCGGAGAATGGACTCGTCAACAAACCATGCCGAAGCAGCCAGTCAAAATACTGCTCTGGCCAGTCTTGCCTGGACGCTGACTCGTCTTTGCAACCACGTCACGAAATCCATCCCTTCGCCGCAGTTTACGTTCGGCACTTGCAGAAATAATAGCCGTCGATCTTCACCGACAACGACCATTCTCGAGATTGGTTTTCCAATCTCGCGTCGTGCGAACTAGGCATGCGCGACATGGGTGACGCAAATGCGGTGGATAGAATTTTGAGCCTGAAGAAATTACAAATCCACTTCAGGCAAACACAGCACCAGCACAGAGCATTCACCATTCCCTACCCCACCTTCACCAACACCAGCCATTCCGCAAAACCCTCATTTCACTCCAACCATCTAAATTTGGCACTCTCGCAGGAGTACGCCTTACATACCTATCACTTATAGTATTCCGCAACATGGGCACTAGGGCGATTTTTGCTTTCGTGGTGATGGCTGCCATTCTCCAAGGCAGTGCGTTTGCTGCCAGTGGAAAGCCCAGGCGTGAGCTTCTCACGCATCGTGTGCAAGCTGTGAAGCCAACTATTGGCAGCGGTTGGAGAGCACGGGTGAACAGCAGGATTGCTAGCGCCTCCATTTCCACTGCTTCTAGCAGCACTACTGCTACTACTGGTGCCAGTGGTAGCAGCATCAGCACTGGAAGCGATGCAGCTACTGTAACCGAAGCGGCAGCAACGTCGTCCAACACTGCAACTGCAAGGGTTGCCGCAGCAGGTGTAGGGAATTCATCGCTGGGAGCGCATCCCGCAGCAGTCAGTGCAACGCTGGGGACGACCACAGTGGGCACTAGTGCCACTTGTGACGCGTCATCGCTCGCTGACTATGCCTCTTCAACGCAGCTGTCCTCCGAGTGAGTTTCTAGCACGGGCCTTGAAGTTTCCCCCCTGCAATCTTCATGAACATACCTTTTCCCCCTGCAATCGACATGCTTTGAATTCCAATGAGTCACCACCCTCATTGAATGCTCATGAAATGCCTCAAATGTCTCTCAATGCACCAATACTGCGTTGCCCTTCCCCTTCCATTTCCTCTTTCCAATACTCTTGTCACTGCGCTGCTCCTCCCCTTTCCCCCTCCCATCAGTCTCACTCTCCACTGGAAGGCAGCCAGTGCGACCAAGGTCAACCTTGCCCTTGAAGCAGCAGCGGGGAGCTCGGCAGCAGCGGGGTGGTTCTCTGTGGCGTGGTCCTCAGATGGCCGCATGGCCCCAGCTGACACTGTTTTTGGCAACCTGCCGGGCGGGGCTGTGGCGGCTTACTACATGAGCGGCTATGGGATGAGCGACGTTCAGCCTACAAGCAGCTTCAGTATTGGCAACGCTGTCCAAACTACATCGGCTTCCGGCTCCACTATTATTGAGTATGTATTTGACGCAAATTATACATTATGCATTATACATTACATATCTGGTGCCATGCATTATTTTCCAGCAGATCCGCTTATTTTTGTGACCCTTTGCTGCTTCCTGCCGCAGTTTTTGCTGCTAAGGGGCCAAGCCATGTCTAATCGTGCACCTCTCATGTGCCTATGTGGCCCACGTGTCAGGTTCTCCCGCGTTTCCAGCGATGGTTCCATCCCAGTGAACGTTGGCGGCAGCAACACTCTCATCTGGGCCTACTCTGAAAGCGGCTCCAAGTCACTTGACTTCCACGGCGAGAATGAGTGAGTGAACAGACTTGCACCTGTCGCTCTTCCCAGTGTGAATGTGAAGTCTGTTGGCTTCGTTACCACCCCCAAGATATTATGAGTTCTGCTGTCCCCTCAACTGGAAAGTGATTGTCCAGGTTGCCATCCTGTGGCCCCTTCCCTAACCGTTTCACACACTCATAGCCGTAACAACCCTCAGCTTGAACCTTACGTCCGAATCCTCTTTCCTCCTTCCACCCCCTCTCCTTCTGGGCCTCTTCCTTGCCCCTTCCACGCCTCTTCACCCTCTCCTCGCAGTGGAGTGGCCACAGTAGATTTCTCCTGCGATGGCTCCTCCTCCTCCGCTCCTCCCTCAACCTCCCCACCTTCCTCCCCTGCACCCCCCTCCACCTCCCCTCCCTCCTCCTCCCCTCCCTCCACCTCCCCTCCCTCCACCTCCCCTCCATCTTCCTCCTCCTCCTGTGCCACATCCACCCTCCCCAGCTACACCTACTCTGCCCCCCTTGACTCCTCTCTCACGCTACACTGGAAGACCGTTAGTGCTACTCAGGTCAACCTCGCCCTGGAGGCAGCAGCGGGCAGCACGGCAGCAGCGGGGTGGTTCTCCCTGGCGTGGACTGCGGACGGCCGCATGGCCCCGGCTGACACTATCATTGGCAACCTGCCGGGCGGGGCTGTGGCGGCTTACTACATGAGCGGCTATGGGATGAGCGACGTTCAGCCTACAAGCAGCTTCAGTATTGGGAGTGGTGCGGCGCTGACTACCACTTCCAGTGGCTCCAAGGTTATGAAGTAAGTCATGGGGTTCGATGAATTTGATCATTGTAGTACCTTCCCCTCTCTCCCCCCCCTTCCTCCCTCCCCTCTCTCCCCCCCTCCTCCCTCCCCCTCTCTCCCCCCCCCCCCCCTTGGCTTGTCATGCCTGTAAGCAATCGCCAAGTTCATGGTTTGAGGCTGGCTCATCGCCAAGTACATGGCCTCTTACCAACTTCCAGTTTTCAGGCGCCTGAAACCACCTGCAGTACACTGTCTGAGATCCACTAATCTAGAACTGCATACCCTACTATCGCCTTCTGTTTTGGCCCGTGTTGAGCAGGTTCTCTCGGGCCCAGGGCGATGGCTCCATCCCAGTGAGTGTGAACGGGTCCAACACCCTCATCTGGGGATACTCCCAAGGCGGCTCTCAGACCCTTGGTTTCCACGGAGAGAATGAGTAAGTCAAGCTCGATAGTGCTTGTTCTTGAATCAATAGTTTTTCTTTCCACTGGCACATGAAAGTTGGATATGGGGCATTTGATGGTGTACCAACTTGTTTCCTCTGCCTCATTTCGCTGGTTTGCTCTTCTCTTCACCAAATCTAAACCCCAACCGCTGTGTTCTTATCGCAGTGGTGCGCTCACCCTCGACTTCTCATGCGCCACTTCATCCACCGGAGGTGGCATCGGCGGTGGCGTTGGTGGCGGCATTGGCGGCGGTGACAACAACGGAGGTGGCTTTGGAGATGGAGGCCATGGGCATGGGCAAGGCGGTCACGGGCATGGCCATGGGGGTCCTGATGGCCCCGGCCATGATGGCGGGGCTGGAGGTGTTGGGGGGGGCATGGGCGGTTCTGGCAGTGGCGGGTGGGGCAGCAGTGCTTGGGGCGGTTGGTGGGACTGGTCTGGCATGTGGTAGAGAAAGTTCACCTCGTGATGGTGGCCATGGGTTTCTGGATGGAAGGAGCGGATGGTCATGGAGGTGATATGGGTAAAACCCAAAATCACCATGATTGTGGGTGTGGAGGAGCCGGCATATGGGATGAAGGAGGGATGGGTGACTTGGGGGGTCGCAGCTGGAGTGAGAGTGGCTTATGAGATGGCGGGTGGGATTGCTGGGGCCGTGGCGAATAGTGTTCTATTCAGATGGGATAATATGAAATATGCTTTTGAGTCGACTCATATTCAGATGGGATAATATGAAATATGCTTTTGAGTCGACTCATATTCAGATGGGATAATACGAAATATAGAAGGTATGCTTGTTTGCAATTGTGAAGCATTAGCCATTAGACCCCTGTTCCTAGGAACTCTGATCAGACTTATGTCGCACCGAACGGAACTGCATTGAACCAAATCGCTTCATATCTGTAGTGTATAATACTGCGCACGTCTGATAGGGGGCGCGTTAGGTAAGAAGGTAGGAACACACGCTCTTAGTGCAAAGGCAATGCATAGTGGAAAGGGCAGTGGGGCTTCTGCTGGGTTGTATACGTGGTCAAGTACTTTTTGAGTACGTTCAACAAAATGCATTTTTCTAAGAAGCACACTCTTTAAAGCAGGCTCAGCACACCAAGGTCCCATAGGGTAGGTTAGTTCGGCTGGTCTGGTCCCGGCTTCAACAAGCCAGAATTTGGTACGTTGGGCTCAGGGGAATCAAGTTTGGGCAGGCTACCATTGGCTGCTGCGTCTGGTTCGGGGAGGGCCGGATCTGGTTTGGGGAGAGTTGGATCTGGTTCAGGGAAGCTAATCCTTCCATTAACTCCATTCTGCCTGAACCATGCTGCCATGTGTCCTCCATCCAGGGACTCCAGCCAATCCATCAGCGCCTCGTGGCCATCCCTCTTGTTATACTCACATGGCTCATGGTG